TCATAAGTCACATTAAATGGCCTCTCGGTTGCGCTCCAAACACACAGCTTTATCTACGCTGCTGGTTTCAAGATTTGGTCAACAGCAGGTGGCCCAGACGATGCCGATAAATTACAAAGGGATCTAGCTAGGCCTCACCGGTGGTTCACCAATTGGCGATTACTTGTAATTCGCGATAAATGTGCCGTTCTTCCAGTGGATGATACGGAGCTATAGAGCACTTGTCGCATCGGTGGATTTCTTCGCAAGAACATCACTAGCGAACAGGAATTTGGGATTATCATGTTTACTAACCTTAGGACCTCCCAGGACGCAATGAGGAAGGTCGGAGCTGCAGAGAGACTTCTAGGTGCCTTAAGAAGTTCGTACTCCCGCATTCCTTCGGAGCCCTTCCGAGTGCTATACACGGCTCGCGTACGTCCCATACCAGAATATGGGCAGCCAGCCGTTTTCTTCCTTTTTAAGTTTAAGTGCCACTTGTTAGAAAACGTCAAGAATCGTGCTTTGAAAGCTGGTACAGGGATCTGCGAGTTGCTGACCCCCTCCGACTTCACTTGCTGTGTCTGTTTCCCATGGAGATCCTTCGTGGCCGCGGCGGTCTCCTCTATACTAGACGCATTCTTCTTGATAAATTGGAACTCGAGGTACTACAGGTATCCACTCGACATGGGGTCACAAATGGCAGCTGTTCAAACCACGATGACTCCACACTCGCTCAGACCTCACCTTGTCAACCCTGGTGGTGAATAATGGGATAGTTTACCAAAGGAAATTGTTGACGCACCTTCAGAGGAATCTTTTATAGGGCTTTAAGATTAACAAATAATGAAGACGCCGGGATGCTGCTACTGCCGCTGCAACTGGGAAGATCTCTTGAAGAAAATCGTCACAGCACGACACGCGGCTATCACACATGGAATAGGAATCGACGGAGCTGACCAGGGTACGCCTCTCTGCTCTCCACAACCCAAAAAACCAATGAACCAATGCTTCCCGCATCTTCTGGTTTATGTGGTTTATCGGAAGTTTTAATTCTCACCTATTGCATCAAATTGCTCATAGAATTTAACGTTAAGAGAAATACCCGGTAGTGCAATTTTACGTTTGAATATTCGCCGTTCGCTGATTTGCCTCTTGGAGTCCAAAGTTCGCAGGGCATAAGCTCATGAAGCTTGGGCCGAGGCAATGAATATTGGCCGCGTAGTTTATGTGCTTTCTGTAGACTTTTCGAAAGCATTTCATAAGGTACCCCACTTGAGGCTATCACAAATGCTGAGCTACTGCTGCGTATCAGACCGCGCCCTTCAATGGGTATCTGCGTTCTTGCAGGGAAGAGAGCAGTGTGTACGTGTGGGTCGCAGCTTATCCTTTAGGCGACTGGTCCTTAGCGGTGTCCCACAGGACTAGGTCCCTGAACCGATGCTGTTCTCCATCTACGTAAACTATTCCCTTGAGAGCTTGGGATATCATCATTATTGTTTGCCGATGACCTTAAGTTATGGAAGGTTGTTAGAGTTCCCGGGGGTTCAGAGGCCATACAGCATGCCCTGGACAGACTCTGGGAGTGGTCAACATTGTGGTTACTGCCCATTAAGCAGGCTTTGTTGCGTCCTTCGTAGAGGAGCAAATTTCCCGCCTTTGAGTTGCGTACTCGGTGAAGTCTGACTCCAACCGAGTAGACCTAGGTGTCGTTCATTCCTCGCCTTTGCATTTTGGTGACAACTAGAAGAAGGCCGCAAGTAGGGGTTTCAAAATGCTGTGGTTAATACGCCGTTCTTTCGGGGTCTTAACTGCCGGCATTTTTGTGAAGCTGTTCCCAGCTTTCGTTCGGCCTTATCTAGGATACTGCGTTTAGGCTTGACCGCCCTGCCTTGTTCGGGACAAAATGGCGCTCGAGAGGGTTTTGAGAGTAGGCACCAAATTTCTCAAGGGGTTACGGGAGCAATAGTACCCTGAGCGTCTACTTACCTTGGGTATGTATTCACTGCACTAAAGACGGCTTCGAGGAGACCTAATCCTTACCTACCGCATTTTAACAGGGATGGCTGGACCAGACTCGGGCTGGGTATTATGCCCGGATAGGTTGCCTTGTCTTTGCGGTCATCCCATGAAGCTACACAAGCCGCGTTCTGACCGGATCAGGGCGGAAACTCGGTTATCGCATAATCTAGCGCTGGAACTCGCTTCCAGAAAGTGTAGTCAGTGAACCTACGTATAAGGGTTTCGAGCCTCAGTTAGACGCTCTTGGGGGGCAACACGAAAATTTTCCCTTTTCCTGACAATGCATTTTTCCACTTTTAATTCATCTTCTGTCATTCTCTTCACTCTTTGGGGTTGTCCTTCATTTAACTATCTTTCATTCCCATTTACCTTCCATTTTCTATCTACCTCTTTCGTATTTCACTTGACCTACACAGCGGGGACTGCTACTGTAGGGAACGTGGGCAGTAATTTGTTGTCCAGGGTGTTTGGCATTAGTTCTATCAAGACATCCTAGCAACTTGTCATTTCCTGGCTCAACGAGCCGCTCAAGCTTTTCATATCGTACCAGTCCATCTGAATCTGATTCCCCGCTACCGAACAATCACTGAATTCGCTTCATGTTCCATTCCAACTTGAACTTGAACTTGAACCTGATGCTGTTAACCAACTTTTAAACATCGGTTTATGTGCTTACACACCATGGTTTATACAAAAATGCTTTTTAGGCCCATTTGCAATACAAACTGGTAAAACACTACAGTCTTTTGTTATGCATGAGCGAATTTTGAAAACCAGGGCTCCCTGGTAGCACATGTCCAGCTCCTGTCCAGTTTAGCGTCCTAAACGTTCCTATGAGAGCATTAAGCTAAACTGGACAGCAAATACTACCATGAGGCGGCTAAAGAGGGATTTGGTCCAGTTTACGAAGGGCCAATGAAAATGATGCTAGCGTTGGCCAATATAAACTCACCACCATGCGTGAAAATCCGGTAGGTCCAGATCCGGCCATTGCTTACCCTGGGTATCCGAATGCGGACAGCACACTACTACGCACTTATGGGCTAAGTAATATATGGACGGTTCGGGGCTAACATTCACCCAGTACCTGTTGCCGTAGCTGCTGGACGTGGAAACCCACCTAGGAGGCGCTTCAAGCTGTTGGTCAGGAAACCAAATGGATCTTACCGCGCACCTGAGAACATCACAAGGCGACAAAAAATGAAAACCGGGGTATAAGTATGCTATATGTACATGAAGGGGTGTAGTACAAAGGTCGTTAGTATCAGAAAGCGGCATTGTCCATATGTTTAATCCGCTTCAGCGAGTGTCAAGGTAGGAGGCTAAAGTTGTGAGTAAGGAAGCAGGGGACTCACCTTATTCGCACTGCATATTTTATTTCGCTCAACAGGCAGTCTCTTGTGCCGTGCGGAATTCAACCACGTTTCGATGTGGCGCTTAATGTCAGCATCCGAGGTTGCATCACCATTGCGTTGCCGAATCATGCCTTGATAGGGTTCATGGATTACTGTCTGTCAACCTACCTTGTACAAGGCCATTCATATTCGTTCGCCTGAATGCGAACAAACCTCCTGCGCCGGAGTAATTCATCTCCGCAACAACTGATCTTATCATTAGCCGCTCCATAGTACCCCGGACGACGATTTGCATGTTAGCACCGTGCACAGCACACAAATGGTTGATCTGAAAGTCGTGGAATAATAAGACTAACTTACGAAACTGTTTTTGAAATCTTGGTCCTTCAGCCGTTCATCATATCTCTTAGGCTCACTGAGAGATGTGAATGGCAGAGAATGTCCCGGTGTAACACTTTGGGACTGTCGTTGCAGCCTCTGCAACATTGCTTCGGACATGCGGCGATGGCCGACCAGTTCTGATCGCATGAGACATAACTCATCTAAAAATAAAGCTGAGTGCAATGCAATGCTTTTGTAACGTATTACCTTTGATGGCCATCAGTTCCTGCATCACCTCCAGATTGCATGGTGCAACGACAGCAACAACAGCGGGTGCGATTATTGTTTAATAGCGATACTTACGGTTGCTTGTTAATGGCCCTGGACGTTTTGGACTAATGCCACTGAAGAGAGACGTGGGCGCACGTGCGTAGGTTGCTGCAGCATTCCTTTTAGGTTTGTTGGGACGCGCGGCATCTTCGTCATCGGAGCTAGAACGGACGGGCCGGCGTCTAAGGGGAAATAAAAAACACCATACTCACATTACACGCTTAGTTGGAAGGCCCATCGGAATTGTTTGTCTGTGGATGGCAGCATGCCGCGCTCTGCTTGACGTTCCGTTTCTCGGGCATGCTGGAAGTTAACTAACGAGGTGGGTTAATATAACAAAGACCTACTCGTGCTAACGATGATGGGCACTCAAGTTATGGACCACTTCATTGGGGTCCCTGTCATCTTCACGGCAGTTTGTAACGTTAGTAGATGACTGAATTTTGTAAGCACTGATATTTAATATATGTTAAAGATACGCTTACCCTTCTGTCGTTTAACTGCTGACAACAGAAGCACTTCATCGTAGCTGAATCCTGATGCCATTGTTTTTTGCACGATAAATTGTGCTACGAGACGGGAACTGCGCATTCAATTGATAACATTATCGACGTGACATGCTGAAAATAAACACATATGTATTACACAATCTATAACAGGAAAACCTGATAGGTGCGCCTGCGGAAACGCAATTTCAAGGGAGCTACACAATAGCGCAAAACCAAGCGGTATCAGCGACCAAGGTTACGAAACCGAAACTGGCCAAATAAAACGACCTGCCGATGCATTTAAACCACTGGGGTTATGGTCAAATAATATCAAATATAATGCATACCAACGATTAATTTAATAAGAAATGTCAAACTAAATGCATTTAGCTGCTAGTAATGCATTAATACCTGAACTGGACATCTGTCCAGTTTCCGTCCAGTTTGCAACGTTAACTGTTACTTTTGTGCTACCAGGGCTATTCCCAGTCGCTCTTGAGCCTGCGCTCTCTGTGCGTTGCGATGTCAATTTATCGCTTTCCGCTGATGCAGTATTCTGTCATGATTTTTTTTCGGCTTTTACTAGTTGGTTCAGACAAATTCCGGGGTCACGGAAACTGTTTAATTTGCTAAAATGAGCTGCAACAACACCGCGTTGGATCCTGAAGTTTTGGATTTTTATTACCCTGATCGATCGAAGAGTTCTCGGTGCACTTCCAGTCACCATCCAAGCCAACAACCGCTCCAGCGGATTGACACAGGACGCTTATGGGCTCAGCAACATGCATTGCAAAGTGGCTCTAAACACATGCATATCACCTGCGACGGAGTAGCGAGCCATCAAATATCGGCCCCGCGTTTTACCACCTCTGGGAAGGCAGTTCATGGACAACTCCCACTGCGTAATCAACCCGGTTCCGAGTACCAGTATCATCACGGCGCCCAGCGATATCGTTCTTCTGTTAGCCCTGTACAGGCTTTATCAAGTACATGTGGAAGCACTTCCAGCACTTTGACGTCCTCAAGTGGGTATCGAACGGGAACCTCTGTCAGCTTGTCTTCCGCCCCACAGCGGGGACACAAACCAGCTACCAGTCTGCGCGCTGTAAATCTTATAGGACTTCTTAAAGAAAAAATAGCGCTTTTACCCGGAGGAAGGTCTCGTCGAGGTGGTCCTTTACTCTGTTTCCCGTCGAATTCACGCGCCGATGAAATCTCATTCGAAGACTTATGCTTGTTGGTTTGGTATTTGTCTTACCTACCAGAGGAACGCGTTAAAAAGTTGGGGTTTTCTGTCATAGTCGATATGCGATACGGAACTACTTGGCACAGCGTGAAACCCATCCTAAAAGTGAGTATGGTTCTATTGGCTCTTTAAACTGAGGCGCCATGAGAATTCGGTTCCTAATTAAAGAAACATGGCTCCTTACTAGGATACAATTCGTGGAGTCGATTAGTCAGGTAGTGTACTTCTCTTTCAATAACCGGCTCATTTGGCACGGTATCATGTAATTCCTGGAGTGTCACGGCGTGTGGTTGTGACAAGCCACTTTTGTCTGCTAAAGCGTCTGCAACCACCACATCGCTTTTATTGAGGTAAATCAAATCGTACTTTTAACATGGTGCTTCAACGCGCCAGGCTGCATTTTTATCACTTTTATCTTGCCATTTTTATTATGTTTAAGCATGAATGAGCGATCGTTGATCAGTAATAATGGTGAAGCTGTTGCCTATTGAGCAATGCTGCCGACTTAACGATAGTACGTGCCTTCTCGGCAGCAGAGCGGCGTCGTTCGCTGACGGACAGCGTTTGTGAGAAGATAGCAGCTGATCGTCCGTCCTGTTAGTGTGGAATCCATAAATATATCCGATACATCGTTTTAGTCATTAATCATCAATAAATACAACCACAGTTTTCAATTTCCTCCTTGGTTTCTCGAATGTCCCTGAAATCAGATTGTGGAGGAGGAAGCAAACATTGCCAATTGACGACTAGATTTCGGGAAATCCATTGGGAACAATATGCACAAGTCCCACAACACGCTGTGGCGATTTTAAGTCAGTGCTTGCGGGCAAGCATCTCAAAGGTTGAAGTTGGTCTGGGCCTGGTCAAATTAAGTATGAAACTTCGTGCTCCAGTAATCGTATCTTTCTCGAACGTTTAATGCTTTTGGTTTCGTTACATGTTAGGTTGCGTTTTCGAGCGACTTCGTAAAACTTAACGTGGTGCGACGGTTTGCGTACCTTCTTGACCCACAGCTGCACTAGGTGGTGCCTCAGTGCCCCTTGCGAGCTACTCCTACCAGGTTAGTTAATGGTAAAAGGTCAGACAAACTCAGTCACCTTGTCCACCAAATCTGGGGTTTGAGATGGGATGGCCTTTATTTCTGTACAACCAAATCATTGCTACCTCCCCGCTACCTTGGGGACAGGCTTTTGGGCCAAAGGCTTTGGATGAGGACCCTAGGTCTAGGTCTAGGCGCCGTAGCAGTATTCACACCCACATACAGCTATGACTTTCCTCAAACATAAACTTCATCTTGCATCGGCCGTCGCGCAGATTATCAATGGTCGCCTTATCTGATGTATACAATAGAACGGATAAGCGAAAATTTACTACTTCTGGCGCCTCCTTCCTTTCCCACCTATAGTCTCGTACTCCCATCCAGACTCTCGTTACAAATCTTCTATAATTCCCAGGTTAATTGACAGCAACCGAAATGCCACTGGAGTAGAATCATCTGCAGCCACCTCGCGACACCCACCGGAGGCCTATCGGCAACAGTCACTTATAAGGCCATGCTGTCTCGTTTCCACAGCGGCGTTCAACGTCCGCACTCTAAGACAAGTAGATCAACAGGCCGCACTCGCACACACGTTAGACACACTGGGTATTGATGCGTGTTGTGTGTCCGGAACTAGGATCAATGACCCTAACGGAGTTGTTGGATTAAATGCGCCCGGCTTATCCTCTCGGTATTGGCTGCACATATCCGGAGACGTCGATGCAGCACTCACAGGTCAAGCTGGTCTAGGTATCATTCTAAGCTCCAAGACTGAGCCATCGTTGGTTGATTGGATTCCGGTGAACAGCCATCTATATGCATCCCGATTGACGACATTAACTAAGGTTAATTCAAGAATTAGTACAAAACGCTGTTTGTGCGTTCCGCTTATGCTCCCACCGACCGCAATTCTAATGCTGTCGAAGGCATTCTATCACGAACTGAACGCGCTACTACGCAGTGCTACTAGTTTAGATATTATAGTACTTGCAGAGGATATGAATGCACAAGTAGGGTGTCTGAGCTCTCTAGGTGCTCAGCTGGGTGGTAATTATGGGCTTAACTCCGAAAGGACTGGCAACGGCGAGCGTCTGCTTCAACTGTATGCGGAGCCTCAGTTGTTGCTTAGTAGCACTGCTTCTAGACAGTGTGCGCCGAAGTGCCACTTGGCTTCCTCCTGTAGCTGGCCAGCGATGGACCCAAATTGACCACATTGCCAGTAGTTACAGGCGGCGTGCTTCCATCCTGGATTTCCGCTCGTACTGGAGTACCTGAGTCAACTCTGATCATGCCTTGGTACGCTGTCGTTTTTCCATGAACTTTACCGGGAGGCGCACCAAGCGTCTCCTCCGGTTGGCAGCTGAAAAATTGCCCCAGCCCTCGGTCAAGCAAGCCCATCAAGATGCAGTGCGTAAAGAACTTTCGCTGCCTTGTCCTAATGACACTGAGCTTCAGTGGAATAGGATCTGGGTTGCCATGCATGACTCAGGAACATCTGCTTGTGGGACTAGCAATCGTCACCGAAGCAGCCACTGGATATCCGAGAGGTTTGTGAACCTGTTGGAATCCAGAAGAAACCTCCAGACTAGCTCTGAGTACGACGTCACCAGACGGACTATTGGGCGCAAAGCAAAGCGAAGCCCACTTGCTGACAAGGAAATCTGATGGACCAGCGGGGTTCAAGAAATGGAGGAGACAGAAGCAGTAGGCAATTACCGCAAGCTCTTCCAGCTGATCCGCACCACTTGTCCCAGGAAACCAGACGTCAGTGAGATAATCAGAGACAGCGCGGGTGCACTGCTACACAATAAGGGGCACTGTATGGCCCGCTGGGCGGAACACTTTCAAGATCAGTTCGGCTGACCCCCTGCTACTCAGGTGATTCAGGACGAGCCATAGACGGTTAGTTTAGATCCTCTATCGGAGGCCGAGGTCCGAAACGCGATCGCAGCCCTTAGTCGTTTTCGTGTCACTGGAACGGATTCCCTCTCACATTCACCATTTGAAGATGGAGATGAGGTCCTCTGCAAAGCACTGCCCTCCCTATTCGAATGTATTTTGAGCGAATCCATTACAGTGGCAGTATACATAAAGAGTAGTCGCACCGACTGTTCTAACCACAAGGGTATTGGCTTAACGCTAGTTGTGACAAAAGTACTGGCCTCGATTCTCGTTCGTCGCCTCGCTGTGGAACGGGAATCTCGGATTTGGCAAGAGCAGGCCGGTTTCCGCCCAGGAGGTAGCTGTATAGACAATATATTCACTCTGCGGCAGATGTTAGAGCAGTGCCACGCATACCGCAGACCCAAAATAACTGTATTCGCTTTCAAGAGTGCACTCGATTCAGTCGATCGATCGATTCTGTTCGAAATAATTGCGCAACTGTGTGCAACTGTGTGCGGGGCACCAGTTGTTTCTTGCTAGCACTGCTTTTAGACACAGTGGGCGCCGAAGTGCTACTTGGCGTCCACCTGTAGCTGGCCAGCGATTGACCCAAATTGACCACATAACCATAGGTTACAGGTGGCGCGGTTCCATTCTGGATTGCCGCTCGTACTGGAGTACCTGTGTCGACTCTGATCATGCCTTGGTGCGCTGTCGTTTCTCCATGAACTTTACCGGAAGGCGCACAAAGCGTCTCCCCCGATTGGCAACGGAGAAATTGTCCCAGCCCTCAGTCAGGCAAGCCTATCAAGTGGCACTGTATAGCGAACTCTCGCTGTCTTGTCCTAATGACACTGAACTTCAATGGAATAGGATCTCGTCCGCTATGCACGACGCAGGAGCATCTGTTTGTGGCACTATCAGTCGTCACCGCACCAGTCACTGGATATCCGAGAGGTCCGTGAACCTGTTGGAAGCTAGGAGACACCTCCCGGCTGGTTCTGAACACAATTTGACCAGACGGGCTATTAGGCGTGAACTAAAGCGGAGCCTACGTGCTGACAAGGAAGCCTGGTGGACCAGTCGGGCTCAAGAAATGGAGGAGGCAGGAGCAGTAGGCAATTACCGCAAGCTCTTCCAGCTAATCCGCACCACTGGTCCCAGAAAACCAGGCGTTAGTGAGACAATCAGAGACAGCGCGGGTGCGCTGATACACAATAAGGAGCGCCGTATGGCTCGTTGGGCTGAACACTTTGAAGCTCAGTTCAGCTGGCCCCCTGTTCCCGGACCTCTTCCTACTCAGGTGATGCAGGACGAGCCATGGACGGTTAGTTTAGTGCCTCCGTCGGAGGCCGAGGTCCGAAACGCGATCACAGCCCTCAATCGTTTTCGTGCCGCTGGCCCGGATTCCCTCCCACCTGCACTATTTAAGGATGGAGGTGAGGTCCTCTGCAAAGCACTGACCTCCCTATTCGAACGTATCTGGAAGAATGAGTGTGCCGGCTAATTGGAGCGAATCGATTATAGTGGCAATATACAAGAAGGGCAGTCGCGCAGACTGTGCGAACCACAGGGGTATTAGCCTAACGCAAGTTGTGACAAAATTACTGGCCTCGATTATCGTTCGTCGCCTCACTGCGGAACGGGAATCTCGGATTAGGGAAGAGCAGGCGGGTTTTCGCCCAGGACGTGGCTGTATAGATCATATATTTACCTTGCGACAGGTGCTAGAGCAGTGCCACGCATACCGCAGACCGACAATAGCTGTGTTCCTCGATTTCAAGAGTGCGTTCGACTCAGTCGATCGATGAATTCTGTTCGAAATACTTGCGCGAAAAGGTGTACCACGAAATATGTGAACATTCTTCGTGCTCTATACTCGAACACTACAGGCCGCGTCAGGGTCTATGGTGTCCTATCGGATAACTTTTCGACTACAAGTGGCGTTCGTCAGGGTTGTCCGATTTCCCCGTTTCTGTTCAATTTCGTCGTGGATTCTATCATGGAGTGTTCCCTTGCGGAATCTCACGATGTAGGCGTTGAAGTGCTGCCTGGTGAAAGATTAGTTGATCTAGATTATGCGGACGATATCGTCTTACTTTTCGACAATGTTGAGGCGGCACAATCAACCCTGAATAGCCTGTCCAGAGTGGTCCCATTATTTGGTATGCACTTCGCACCT